TAAATGGCCACCATGGTCACCACCCATCTTGAGGAGTTTGCCCCCTCACATATACTAATGTGCCACAAACAGGACTTTAATATCACCAACCATTCCCATTTTATTACAGTGCATCCATATAAATGGCCCACCCTGTAGATTAGAATGTGTTTGTATAAAAAAAAAATTACACAAGTTACACTTGCTGTTAAGGTCTAGTTATAGATACACAGCAATAAACAAAGTGTAAAACTTTGTGCTCAAGTTCCCTTGCTGTGTGTGAGTTTAAACTTACAAATATGAATTTTCACCCAATTGTTCTTGTTTTCAGCTGATTGGTCAATGTCATGTCAATCACAAATTTAACAATCCAATCAGAGAACAGATGGATGTGGTTGTCGGAGGGGTGCCTTACTGAGCCTCAGGTCCTGGAAGGGTGATGGTCCTTTCACGTGCCAGCCCAGCGTTTTCCTTCATCACCACGAAGGAAAACATTCTGTGCGTGTCCGAGTTCGGTGAAATTCCATAGATGCACCAACCTAAAATGTTCAGATATTTTGGTTTACAAGGTTACAAAACTCAGTTCACAACTATGAAAAATATGTATGAGCACAATTTGAGCCCATAGTTTTCATTGAAAATAAACATTTAGTTCATATTTGGGAGAGTTGTTGACAATAAGAGAAATACAGATGATCACCAGATGCCATCAGAAGACTTTTCTACGGGAAGTTTAACAAAGTAAATGTGATTCCGTTCATTAGTGGTCCCTCAAGGGTTAAAGTCCTGTTTATGTTATTTCATCTTATTTTTTATAAGAAAATGTGAGTTTGTTGTTACCTGTTTCAGATCTGAACCTTTATTTATCTTTAGTATTCCAGAGTAATATGTTTATGGAGGTAAAAATAATTTTGCTGGATGAGTTCTTTGCTGTTTACGTACTAGTCTCAAGAACAAAAACTATTTTTATGTTTACAGGAGATGTTTGATAAGTTTTGACCAGCTCTAATTGACGCCGGTTGTATGAAGGTTAGTTTTATATTTGATCATTTTACGGTAAATGTTGTTTTGGTGGGTTGTTTCCTATGTTGGACCTCGGTAAAGCAGGCCTACAGATCGGCTTGCACCTCTTTGGCAATCAGCGGTAAGTAGTGCAACCCGACTGTTTGCTGGAGGTTTCTGGCTGTTGATGGGTGAAATTGTTTGTAAAGAGAGCGCTGCACCGAAAACCTCCTTGTGAGATTTCTTTTGGTGACACTCAGGTTGCCACAGCCTCACCAATTAATATGGGAGACACCGGTTGTAAACTACTTGCAGAGTTGTTTTAAAACTGAAAAGTTTGCCTCTAAAGAAAAAGCTAACTGCTCCTGTAAGGTGCAACTTTTATTTTGAAGATGAATGGTCTCTGTCTCAGTACAGCTTGGGACTTAGTTAGCAACTGTTTGCAGACCCGTCTGTATCTTCCATGCAAGCTGAGGGAAACAGCAGAAATCTGCTAGTGACCAAAGCAATCACAAGCAGGTTTTTAGTGCCTCACTGTGCAGTCTTTCCAATGAGTTTCATGCAGACAACTCCCAGCGTCCTCCACAAACCACTCAGCAATTGACTTGGGATTACATATGTTGGTTTGCAACCAGTCTGTATGCCTGTGTGACTGAGGTCTTAGTTATAGTTGTTTTGAGTTAATTCAGAGGCCTGTATCACAAAGTTCGCTGTACTAACAATGAACAAGAACAA